CTCTCCTTCAGTATGTCCTTCAGAAGGCTCACTTCATCCCATCTCCAACTTTTTGTGGGATTCCAGAGAGATCTGGTGTTCTTAAACCCCTTCTTTTCTCCCTCTAGCACTTATCTCTGGGCAATATCTGTAAACACAAGTTCAACTACAATCTCTATGATGACAACTCACAGATCTACTTCTCTGCCCAAGACCTGGCTGCTGTCCAAACTAAAATCTTAACCTGTCTTTTTGACACATCCTCATGAATGTCTAGCCATGAACTCTACCTCAACATGGCTAAAACAGAATTCTTAATTCCCCCACACCGACAGAAAATCCCTCCTGGTCACCTCCTTGATCACTGTGGACAACACCACCATCCTTCCTATCACTCAGGCCTGTAACCTGGATGTCATCTTTGACTTGGACTTTTCTCTAGGTCCGCACATCCAAGCTATATTTAAATCTTGCCAATGCTTTCTACATAATATCTAAGATACAGCCTTTCCTATCCATCCACACAGCTAAAACTCCTATCCAGGCACTCCTCATCTTGTGTCTCAATTTCTGCAGCCTCTGGCTTTGATAAATGCAATGCTTTATTCATATCCGTTCAGAATACTATCACAAAGATTATAGCTTTGACTATGCCACAGCTCTCTTTGCATCCCTCCACTAGTTTCCCTTTCTCTGTCACATCCAACATAGGCTCTTTGTCTTCATTCTCCAGGCCCTTCATATCCTATGCCCCCTTACCTATCTCTTGTTAGCTATCAAGATGTTTACTCCTCCCTCTAATCAAACCACAATGCCAGTCTCCCTTGTCCACTTGTTAGATTTTCAAACAAGCATCTTTGTGTTTTCTCCCATGCTGCCCCTCATGCTTAGGAGGAGCTCCCCATAAACATCTGCAAAGCTATCTCATTCTCCTTCTTCAGAGCCCTCTTTAAAACTCTGTTTTTCTCTGATGCCTACAAAAAAATCAACAGCAGTTAGGGCACTGGTGTGCTGAGATCCCTTATTGTCATTCCGACCAATATTTTATCCTTATTTTCTTGTACTTATCTGTCTGTCTGTATTCATCTGCTGTCTCTTCTCTCATCCTTAGTTTGTAGGCTCTTTGGGGCAGAGACAGTCTTCTTATTCTATGTTTGTACAGCACCTTGCACAATGGAGTTCTGGTTCATGACTAGTGCTCCTAGGTTCTATGCTAATACAAATAAAAAATAACAATAAATTGGAATATTCCATAATGACAGCAACTGCAAGGCTGGGGGGGATTTAATATAACCTTTCTTTGTTTATAAATATAACTGTACATTCTAATGTCATAATTTGTTTCAGTTCTTAATATATTTGAAGTGTTTCATGACTACATCTTTCTGAAATTATATAGTGTTTTTGTGAGCTCTTTCAGTAATAACAAGTATTGCCAAACATATTGTTTTAGTCTTTTATTTTGTCTCTAGTTAAGTTTCAATTTTACACTTAAACCAGAGATTTGGCCTCATTATTATATGTGAAAATATAGCATAACCTCTGCAAAATTATAGCATTTATTCCTTGAGTATAGAATAAGTGTTTTTAGAATTTCCAATGAAATCCATTGATGGAAATTAAATTAATTTAACATTGGGTCCTTAACACTAAATTTTTTAATCAGACCTTTTTTTGGTCCATAATGCTGTCAGTAACAAAATTATATAGGCTCCTTGAACTTTCATAACTGAAAATGCCTTCTTAAATAGAGGATGAAGAAAAAATCTGATTCGCGGGAAGCCGGGATGGGGGTGGGAGGCGGAGAAGCAGAGCGGGGCGGCGCATTCAGGGGCGGAGGCGGAGCGGAGGTGAGATGAGCTGGGGCCGGGCGTGGGGTGGGGATCTGCCGTGGGTGCTCTGCACCCACCAAATTTTCCCCATCGGTGCTCCAGCCCCGGGGAAAATTCACAGAATACCATGAAGAACAGACCCTTTTAAAGATGGTCCTAGATCCTAGCTTTCTCCAGGTACTCAGCCACAAGCTGCCCTAGTGGTTTCTCTACTCTTCACAGCGATGAGCTGGAGCTGGTTCGCACCAGTTCACTAGAACCGGTTGTTAAATTTAGAAGCCCTTTTAGAACCGGTTGTTCCACGAGGGACAACCAGTTCTAAAAGTGCTTCTAAATTTAACCGGCCAAAAGTGACACCTTAGGCGCTGACTCCATGGGTGCTCCAACCCTGGAGCACCCAAGAGGAAAATTTGGTGGGTGCAGAGCACCCACTGGCAGCTCCCCGCCCCACCCCCAGCCCCAGCTCACCTGCGCTCTGCCTCCACCTCCTCCCCTGAACACACCACCCTGCTCTGCTTCTCTGCCCCCACCCCAGGCTTCCCGCGAATCAGCTGTTCACGTGGGAAGCTGGGGCAGGCTGAAAAGCAGGTGGCAGCTTCGCACTGAGGCCCAGGGAGGAGGGAGGTGAGCTGGGGTGGGGGGGGGTGTGAGGAGGGCTGCCTGCGCTGCAGCAGGTAACCCAGGGGGCACGCAGGGGAACCGCTCTGCGCCCCAGCTCACCTCCACCACCCTCGGCCTGAGCGGGAAGCCGCTGCCTGCTTCTCAGCCCTCCCCAGCTTCCCGCTGAACAGCTGATTTGCAGGAAGCTGGGATGGGAGTGGGAGGTGGAGAAGCAGAGCGGGCGGCGCGTTCAGGGGCGGAGGCGAGGTGAGCTGGGGCTGGGTGCGGGGTGGGGAGCTGCCAGTGGGTGCTCTGCACCCACGAAATTTTCCCAGTGGGTGCTCCAGTCCCAGAGCACCCAGGGAGTCGGTGCCTAAGGTGCCACTTTTGATGTGATCAGTGGGGGGAACGGCCGCTCCCCCCCCAGCTACGCTCCCGCGCTCTTAGGAGCCTGAGGAACCTGCCGACGCTTCCTGGGAGCTGCCCTAGGTAAGCACCATCGGGACTCCCCACCTCGCTCCCTGGCAGGTCCCTCTGGCTCTTAGGGTGGGGTGGGCACCCACTACAGTGGCCCACGAGACCCTCCTGCCCGGTTCTGGGTGCAGTCAGGGGACAAGGGAGGGGGGTGGATGGGGCAGGGGTCCTGGGGGGCGTCAAGGAACGCGGGAGGTTGGATGGGGCAGGAGTCCCGGGGGGCGGGGATGGGCAACGACCCCCTCGTGGGGTGAGGAGGGAACCAGTTGTTAAGATTTTGGCAGCTCATCACTGACTCTTCACTGCATAGGGGTCCACCATCTTCCCTAAGGGCAGCTAGGCTTTGGTATTTTGGGGAAACAGTTGTAGGCAGTGGCCTTTCGAAAGAGGGCATTGTAACTGAGGGCAGCTTGTGGCCTCAGGGCAGGTCTACACTACCGCAAAAGTCCATATAACTTATGTCACTCAGAGGTGTGAAAAAGTCCTCCCTCTCCAAGTGACATATGTTTTGCGCTGTCCATACCAGTGCTATGTCGGTAGGAGACTCTCTTCCACCAACATAGCTTCCGCTTCTCACTGAGGGGGAGTAATTATGCTGACGGGAGATCACTCTCCTGTCAACATCGCGTATCTGGTGAAGAAGTGCAGCTGTGCTGATGTAGTGCTGTAGCATAGATTTGTCCTCATTCGAATTGAGAACAATAGGAGATGGTAGCCACTTCAAAAGGTCAATTCTTCATGAAATTGCCTGTAATAGAACATTATTCACTACCATCTGCTGAAGAAGAAACTTCCAGTTGTAAGGAATTGACAAAAAATTATCATTAATCCTATTTTTTTTAAATTCTTTGTTGCACCAGATCTGCTTAACAGGGAAGGCAAGAAAGAGGGGGAAACTAGTTGTGTACGCATGTGTGTGTGAAGGAGAGACCAAGAGAATGTGGGTGACAGAAGGGAGGAACTGGGATGCATGAGCAGAAGGGAATGTGGCTGATGTAGGGGAGGGAGAATGTGGGGCATGATAGAGGGATGTGTGTATGCCAGGTTATGCAGGGGAAGTGCAGAAGGCAGAGGGAGTTTCATGGTGAATATGCATGCAGTTGAATGCACAGGGAAGGGGAGTTTAATGTGTTTGTGCAAGGGAAGATGGAGGCTAAGAGGAGGCTGATGGGGTGCACGCTGGTTGCTTTGCACAGCTCTAGCAATGCAAAGGTGCTTTAAACCCAGTTTAATTGCCCAGTATGCTCTGGCAATTTTGTGCTGCTCCGGACTGGAGTAAAGTAGCCCGAGTATATTGATGAATCTGGCCACAGAACTTAAAATTAAAATAGTTACTTAAGAGTGATACTTCACATATTCAAAGCATTAGAAACATTACATGATAACATTCACTTCTCTTGTTCAGGGTTTATTTATTAAAATAACAAAAAAGAAATTCCCAGAGAAAAACTAAGTTAAAATGGAGTTACTATTGAGAGTGTATATAATTAATTTAAGGTTAAATACACTACAGGGATGATGTGAAATTCAAAGTTAATGTTAAACTTAAAAGAAATCCAAACATGTTAAGTTATTGAACTACATATTAGAGCACACCAAAAGCCTTAACTCTGCCCTGTAGAAGAGAAAAATTCAGATGTGCCTTTAAAAATCAGTTCAGTCTAATCTGGGACTAGAAATACTACAATACTTTAATCATAAATATATGGCAATTGCATAGTATCACTCAGCCTAGTGAGAACACTGAAAAGTAAAATCATTATAGGGAAGCGTTTGACATTCTGTAGAAACTAAGGAAATGTACATTATCTTTTTTGGCAGAAAGAGAGTTTATGAAATAGCACAGAAAGTCAGTAGTTGCTATTTTAGCTATTTTTAACATTGTTTTGTGGGCAGAACATTTATTAATAATTTGAACCTATGACATAAATGCACTGTGTGAAATCCTGACTCCATTAAATTCAATGAGAGTTTGCCATTGACTTCACTGGGATCAGGATTTCACCCACTGTGTGTATATTGTATAAATGTGCATAACTGATAAAAGTTAAGAAAAATGTTATAGTTATAAGCAGATATCTTTCAATAAGTGTAATCCGTAACCTTTCTCTTTAGATTACTCTGGAGCAGATGATAAAAGAAAATTTGCGGTTAGCACAAGAGTATCAGATCTTTCAGAAATATTATTTAAATGATAAAGAATATCTTATGGATCTCTATGACGATAGGGTCAAGATGGAAGCTGCAGTTAGAGATCAGCAGCAGGTACAGTACTAATATAATACATTTGCTCGTTAACTAGTGATCTGTTTTCTAAAATTTATTTATTATGGCGACTTAATGAAATTGGATAACCATGCAATCCATGGTCTAAATTCTTGTGATTTCTGGCTGTTGTATGCTGTTTGTATTTTTCATTTGACTTGTATAGGACAGTTTTTGTAAGAAGATGCTATAAGGATATGTAGGGTTTCACTCTAAATAATCCATTTTTGGTACCTTAATTGTATCTATACCTTAGTTCCAGTAATTTCATGTAATTCAGTATTGCAAAGATCATCTTCGTAGTACATCTTTTGTTAGCATGGTCTTTATATAGCATTGGGAGTTTGCTGACATCAACAGCCAAACTAAGGCTACAATTCAGGAAAACACCCATAAGAATCAGAGTACTTGTGGCACCTTAGAGACTAACCAATTTATTTGAGCGTAAGCTTTCGTGAGCTACAGCTCACTTCATCGGATGCATACTGTAGAAAGTGTAGAAGATCTTTTTATACACACAAAGCATGAAAAAATACCTCCCCCCACCCCACTCTCCTGCTGGTAATAGCTTATCTAAAGTGATCACTCTCCTTACAATGTGTATGATAATCAAGTTGGGCCATTTCCAGCACAAATCCAGGGTTTAACAAGAACGTCTGGGTAGGAAAAAACAAGGGGAAATAGGTTACCTTGCATAATGACTTAGCCACTCCCAGTCTCTATTCAAGCCTAAGTTAATTGTATCCAATTTGCAAATGAATTTCAATTCAGCAGTCTCTTGCTGGAGTCTGGATTTGAAGTTTTTTTGTTGTAATATCACAACTTTCATGTCTGTAATCGCGTGACCAGAGAGATTGAAGTGTTCTCCGACTGGTTTATGAATGTTATAATTCTTGACATCTGATTTGTGTCCATTTATTCTTTTACGTAGAGACTGTCCAGTTTGAGCAATGTACATGGCAGAGGGGCATTGCTGGCACATGATGGCATATATCACATTGGTGGATGTGCAGGTGAACGAGCCTCTGCTAGTGTGGCTGATATTATTAGGCCCTGTGATGGTGTCCCCTAAATAGATATGTGGGCACAGTTGGCAATGGGCTTTGTTGCAAGGATAGGTTCCTGGGTTAGTGGTACTGTTGTGTGGTATGTGGTTGCTGGTGAGTATTTGCTTCAAGTTGTGGGGCTGTCTGTAGGCAAGGACTGGCCTGTCTCCCAAAATTTGTGAGAGTGTTGGGTCATCCTTCAGGATAGGTTGTAGATCCTTAATAATGCGTTGGAGAGGTTTTAGTTGGGGGCTGAAGGTGACAGCTAGTGGCGTTCTGTTATTTTCTTTGTTAGGCCTGTCCTGGAGTAGGTGACTTCTGGGAACTCTTCTGGCTCTATCAATCTGTAGAGTAGGGCTGTTAGGGGACGAGAACTGAGGAAGCGTTGTTCTAAATTAGCCATAAAAATGTTGGCATACTGTGGGGCCATGCGGGTACCCATAGCAGTGCCGATGATTTGAAGGTATACATTGTCCCCAAATGTAAAATAGTTATGGGTAAGGACAAAGTCACAAAGTTCAGCCACCTGATGTCAGGTTAGCCGTGACATTATCGGGGATAGTGTTCTTGACGGCTTGTAGTCCATCTTTGTGTGGAATGTTGGTGTAGAGGGCTTCTACATCCATAGTGGCCAGGATGGTGTTATCAGGAAGATCACCGATGGATTGTAGTTTCCTCAGGAAGTCAGTGGTGTCTCGAAGGTAGCTGGGAGTGCTGGTAGCGTAGGGCCTGAGGAGGGAGTCTACATTTCCAGACAATCCTGCTGTCAGGGTGCCAATGCCTGAGATGATAGGGCGCCCAGGATTTCCAGGTTTATGGATCTTGGGTAGTAGATAGAATATCCCAGGTCGGGGTTCCAGGGGTGTGTCTGTGCAGATTTGATCTTGTGCTTTTTCAGGGAGTTTCTTGAGCAGATGGTGTAGTTTCTTTTGGTAACTCTCAGTGGGATCAGAGGGTAATGGCTTGTGGAAAGTGGTGTTGGAGAGCTGCCGAGCAGCCTCTTGTTCATATTCCGACCTATTCATGATGACAACAGCACCTCCTTTGTCAGCCTTTTTGATTATGATGTCAGAGTTGTTTCTGAGGCCGTGGATGGCATTGTGTTCCACACGGCTGAGGTTATGGGGCAAGTGATGCTGCTTTTCCACAATTTCAGCCCGTGCACATCTGCGGAAGCACTCAATGTAGAAGTCCAGTCTGCTGTTTCGACCTTCAGGAGGAGTCCACCTAGAATCCTTCTTTTTGTAGTGTTGGTAGGGAGGTCTCTGTGGATTAGTATGTTGTTCAGAGGTATGTTGGAAATATTCCTTGAGTCGGAGACATCGAAAATAGGATTCTAGGTCACCGCAGAACTGTATCATGTTCGTGGGGGTGGAGGGGCACACATTAGAATACTTCCCTATTCAGGAAATCACTTAAATACAAGCTTAACTTCAAGCACGTGCATAAATCCCATTCCAGTCAGTTAGTAACTGCTTCAATAAATACCCATGATTATGGCATGATGGCAGTTGTTTCATAGTTTAAGGTTGCAACTGAATTTCCATTATAAGTCTGATTTTGCACCAACCACCACCCTTTTCTAATATTGACAAAAAGTCATATCTGCCTCAAAAGCGCTAGGTTCAATCTGAGGCCAAGGAAGAATTTTTCTACAGCATACAAAAACACTTCAGTTTACTGCAATGTGTTTAAAAAAATCAAACAAAAAAGACAGAGGTAGAACCTAGTTTGTTAATCTTCCCTGATGAGATATAGTGCCCAGGACTAAATTTTAATCAACTAAAGTCTCATCTCAAAAGTTCTTAACTTTTGATATATAACATGCTGTGGAACATCAGGGTCAATGATATGTACCACATCAAAGAATGGTTGGAAACCTGTGTTTTCATTTTCTAAGGAAATAGTGTCCATTCATTTTTTTCTAGAGATAGACTTCAAAATGTAAACCAATCCCTGGGATGTCTGTTCAGTGGAAAAAAAGATAAATTTTCTAATACTCTAATTGGATTTTAGGTTTTGGTTTTTTTCTTCTTTCATCTCTTGCATTTTTGAGAGTTAATATGCATTTAAATAACTGTTATGTGGCCACACCCTTAACTTTCCTAAGAATTTTTGGTGGGAAGTCTCATAAACTCAATTCATTTGTGCAAGAATCTCGTCCCAGTATAGTACCATATTAAAAAGCAGGTGAGATTAGTCCACTTCCTCAAAGCATTCTTCTTTACAGGATACTCTGAAAGAATCCAAATTACCTGCTAGACTTCAGTGTCATAAAATGTTTTACAAGCGCCTACATTTTCATCATACAAACACATCAGTTGTGCATTTATTCATCAACTATACGCATTCTGTCACCTATTCATCGCTCGTGTTGAAATTGAATGTGTTCCACTTGTTACTGACAATTGTCAGTAGGCAAGTAATCAGTGTATTCTTGTTGATCTCACAGCCTTCCATTTTTCAATCAGTAAACAGTTTTAAGAGTCAAAATGTAGAGCTAATCACTCTTTAAAGAAGGAGCTAGAGATTTATGATTTATGAAAATGATTAGCAATGAACCATATATATCCAGTGTGTGGCTTACAACTGCTACCTCAACTAGGAATTTTAGGGAAGTCTAGAATTTGACAGTATGCCAGTGCCATTTAACAGAGTACATAAACCAAGAGTTGGAGTTCTATGTAGGATATTAACTTCAGAGAATTATAGTGACTGCTAACTAACTTTCCTTTTTGATAACCTTTAACTTTTCTAAAATGAATAACCTGTCCAACTGTAAAGACAAAATAATCACATCAGCACCAGAAGGAGAATTTTTTCACAAATGATGATAAATGGAGTAAAGATGTTGGACACATAAGGTTCTATAAAAAGGAGACATATTTTCTCAGTTTTTTACTGATAAGTGACTTACAACTGCAACAGAAAATCATTTCTGTAGGAGTGCCAGTGTAATGATTTTTCTAGCTGCTGTACTATGCATATATATCACAATGACATGAACATTTGAGAAGAAAAGAATGTATTCATTTCTCTAAATCTACAGAGCTCTCTTTTCCTTCTATATCTTAGATATATAAGTGACACTCAAAATTAGCAGTCACGTTTTAAAAAATGTTGATTTAAAAGGTAAAGTAGCAATTTTTGCCTTGTTCTGATTCATTTCAACTGGATATGGCATTCACTTACTGCCTTAAACTGTTGAGAAATTGCTGTGTGCTTGTTAACTAGTTGCTTCATTCAACCCCAAACGTGTCTCAATTTCAGTGATGAAGTACTTCCTTTATACCGTGTAGGTCTATATTATGGCTTTGCAAGCCTCTGGACTATGGGTTGGAAAAACATCTGTAGTGCTCCAGCATTGGTGAATAGAGAGGATATGCCTGAAAAATATACCTCCATGGGCATTGAGGAAGCCAGGGATAACGCTTTGGGGAGGCAGTAGGTGGCACAATCTCCACACTACTGCTCACAGCCTCCCTAGATGGCTGGGTGTGGCTTAGCAGGAAGAGAGAATCCTTGCTTTTATGAGTTGCTACCACTAGTGGAAGCACCTGCTGAATGCACTGTGTAGTTGCTTTTTTAGTACTTTGCCTCCTGCTGTCTCCTTCTTCCCAACTCTGCCTCATTACAGTTTTGTTGCCAGTTCTCACAATTTTATTGCAAGTTTTCAATATTTAGTGTTTTTCTTTAAGCCCCAGCTCCTGGGATCAAGTGCTGTAATTAGGTAAGAATCTCTGCTTCTATTTTAAAAAAGAAGATTCTAATGCTCGTGGTTGCATAGAAAAGCTTGAAAATGTGATTTAAGAGAACTCGACATGGTTAAAAACCAGAGGACAAATGTAAAGAACACAAAATTTATTATTTTTAAAATTTCCTAATCTTTAAGTCAATCTTATGATTTTGGGAGCCTGTCTCTTGATTTTCAAATGCTTGGTGTTGGCAGTACTT